CAAGATGGCGACTGCGTTGACTTCTGAAGATTTGACAGAGTTTTTTTTCATCTTTAAACGACATCGCTGATGGGATTCGTGTTTCATCTATTAATTTACGATAGAGATGATGTTCAATTGGAGATCGGCGGAAGACGACCTGAGGAACATTTAAGGGTACTTGTAGCCAATATGTAATTCCCAGGATAGTGGATTTGATTCATCTTTGAAAGGTTTACTGGAGACATTGACTGATTGTTTAGCTGTCTTGTTGAACCGTATTTCACACATTTTAAGCGTAAAAAGTCTTGGGGTAACGAAAGAATTGCGATACTTCTCCAGTTCAATCCTGTCTCTCACAGCTCTTCATTTTGATCTTATATATATCATACGCTGGTCTTCCTCCGGCACTTTTTGACAAAGGAACAATTTTCAATTCCGCAGATCACCAATTGAACATCATCTCTATCTTAAATTAATAGATGAAACACGAATCCCATCAGCGATGTCGCTTAAAGAGGAAAAAAAACTCTGTCAAATCTTCAGAAGTCAATGCAGTCGCCATCTTGCTTCATGCTTTAAATGATGACTTTGCAATCGATATTTTGTGATTGCTAATCGATATTCTCGTATAGTGATTTCCTGAACTCACATAGTGATTTTGTTTCTGATTCTGGTATGATAATTATTGATTCTTGTACGTTGATTTCGCAAACTCGTATGGTGATTTCAATTCTCGCATACTAATTAAGGAATGGTCCATAATGAGCGTGCATATATCCAGTTCTGGAAGCACGAGAGCAGCGTAAGAGATCTCTAGCTGCTAGAGTGCTTCCAGAACTGGATATATGCACGCTCATTATGGACCATTGCTTTTATAACATAGGTAACGACTTTAATTCACTGAAAAATGTTTTATTCGTACGATCACATGTCAAAACTCTCTTAAATGTGCGCGCGCACACTAAGGAAATTTACATTTACCGTTGACTATCAAGAATGCTCGAAGTATGTTTTACAGCGCCTCTTCTAAAAGAAAAATACCGCGATAATCAAAAAGTCAATAAAAGCCTTCGCGGAGAAATGAGAGTCTAAAAGAAGATGAATCACAGAGGTTATGTTCATGGTCTACACCCGTTGTGATAGATCAGCGATCACTTCTCGTGAATGACCAGTTGAACGTTTTGAACTGTGCAGTTGCTAAAGATGGAGCCAAACTGGCTCGCCGGATCTTGTCCTGCAACTTCTACAACCACATTGTTGTTTTTAACAGCTGTGTTCAGATGAACAGTAGCCGGGACAATCGCTTGGCTTGAGGAAGTGAGACTTTGGGACAGCACTTCAGAACAGTGGTGCAGTTGTTCGGTCGAAGGCCTCGTATTGTAGTGTGCCAAACTCTGCTCTTTTCGATGCCCAGATATGGCCATTATATGGCGATTAGGAATGCCTGCATTTGACATCACTGTGATTGATGTGGCTCGAACTGAATGGTTAGTGTATGGGCGGGATAATTTGGCCTCTTTACTAATCTCTTTCATCATTCCGTCCAGCTTATTGACGCCACAGGCCTGTTTTCGTACCACACGTCGTCTGTTGGGGACCAATTTCTCTTCGGATACTGGAAGAGGGATTCGCAGTTTGGATTGGTCTTTGACAGATACAAGCGCAGAGCTTTGTAGCCGTCGTTTGGATAGTCAGTTTCATACATTCGAGCTTTTTTCTCTGAGGAGTTTACATCATTTAATGCCGCCCGGTGGTTCTTGGTCGCTTCGTCGTGCGCCATTGTAGCGTAGGATCGCCCGCTTGCACAACTTCAAACTTCAAGCTTGATGTCTTTAGCTCTCGCTGGCCTTCTCTTCCTCTCCGGCAGAAAAACAAGATCAAATGGAACCAGACATTCCTTAACAGACTCCATGGATCATTAAGGGAGAGAGCCTTGGAAGTTTTCAACTTCAATAGATCTTGGTTTTCTATGACTAGTTTATGTTGTGTATCCTCCTTGTTTTTTCGCTTCATTTGAACTAGCTGGGCATCAAGCATCTCATTTGAACGGTTAAACCTTGGGTCAGTTGAGAGCTTCAAACCACGGTTTAAAGGAGGCTGATTCATATATCTCTCAATAGCATGTCGAAAGCCCAGGAGTGTTTTCTTGCTGTACATCTCGCCGGTTGTCTTTCGTGCTTCGGGATAAAACCTGCGGAGATTTGCATCCAGTTGACCAAGCGTCATCTTCTCAAGAGGTGTCTGAATGTGCTTCTCTTTGCACCATGCTAAAAGAATAAAGGTTTGAAAAAGGTTAAGAACAATTAATTTGTATTTCTTACCTATTATCGAGCAATTATTTTTTGTTTCTCTTAGTTGCAGTGCGAACCGCACTCAACAAGCTGTTGTGCAAAACCGATTGAAAACACGATGTTTTATTTCATTACTTAGTGAATTAGTAGGAGATTTTTGCCGATAGATCGATTCACTGCTTTAAAAATATGTAAACAGTTTGCTAGCAATAAAAATAAAGCAGAAATACGAAAAGATTGTTGTTTAATATTTTATAATTTTCCTCGTTGAGAGTGATAGCTGTCTACAACACAGCTTACGGAAGCCACGTTAGTGTTTATTGTCTGTGTTGACATTTTCGCGAAAAATATTTTTCATGAAAACTAGTTTCTATATTTTTAACTAAGTCAAAAGGTCATGCCATTTTATCTCATAAAAGCTATTAATTAATTTTTCTTACCTTTAAACGTGGAAACACACCAGTTTGTGGTTTTTTTGGTCTTGGCACTGACTGCTTATCAGCGAGGATATCTTGCAACTCGTTTTCGTTGAAGTTAGCAAATCTTTGTGAATTTTTTTCTGGTTTTTGTTGTTTATTAACTGGGGGTTCAATGTTTTGCTCAAACTCAAAATCAAAATTAGGAAGCTCATAATCTTTGTTAGATGGAAAAGAAGCCATATTTCTAGTTTTAAGTCACGAAACACTTTGCTATTTGCTACAGCTAGCGAACCAACGGTGAATTTTTCGCCGCTTCACCGTAAAAACATTTTCTATGGGATATCTCTATGGGATATCCATTTTTTTCACATAGCAAATTAGCCAATCAGAGCACGCGTTATATCTTGCCTATGTTATAATTTTTTATTCTCGTATGATGATTTCAGTTCTCGCATAGCAATTTTTTATTCTCGTACAGTGATGCATTATTCTCAACATGTGATTTTGATCTCACCAAGCGCGTAACGCCCTTCCCTTTGGGCCGTTAGGAGGCTATGGAAGGGAGTGAAGGATCGTCTTATTTAGTATCAGTATCAGTATCAGKGTCATTCCGCTATTTCCAACTATAAGTTGATCAGCAGGGACTATATAGTCTACACAGAGCCAAAGTTCTGATGTAGTAGTCCTTTTAAATTTAGACCGGCTTCACTTTGGCTCGCTTCCAGYAGTAAGCAGGGACGGAACGATACAAGTTGAATAGATACAAGTTGAGTAGCCAACATAACTTGGAGCGATTTTCCTAGCTGTGGCCTTGAAAAGTTTCCCGAGGGGTGTTGTCGGGTCTAAAAGCTTTACTGGGAACGAGGTTTTCCAAGGCCTCGGCTACTTCTGATGCTTACAGCTGAATGTTGGCTAACCGCTGACCGTAGCTAGATGAAGACTCCGGGCTCTCGTCGGTTTAGGGCTTAAACTAAAACGGAATGGAGGTTGGAATTCAACAAGTTTGTTCTTTCTTCTCTATTCGTCACAATTTTCTGGTCGTCTCGTCCCGTTCTTTGTAAACACGAGGCTTATCATAATATCGCACATCTTTGATAAACTTGATAAAACAATCCTTATCGTTTACTAAACACTGACTTAAAGAGCTCAACACATCTAATCTCTGTAAAGCGTCGTAGAAGGAATTTTCATTTAAAAAGACACTCAAATGACTTCCATGCTAGAACTGGAGCAATCACGACGAAACGAGGACATGTGTAGTAATTTATTTAATAGTAATTTATTTACTTAATATTGCGCAGTCTAACATGCCAATGTATAATCGAGTGCGCATTACAAAATACAATATCACTATCTATTTGCAATATAATAATTTCCTAACTATTAAAATACGAATTAAAAATATGTTATTATTAAGTGGGAAAAATAAAAGTAATTAAATAGGTATGAAATTAAATAAAATATAAACGATACTTAGTTCTAATCATAAAACGCTAGTTCAAAAAAATAAGTTTTAAGCATACTTTTAAAATTACTATAAAGCCCCGTTTACACTAGCAATTTTTGCTGCGATTTTTTTGCGATTTTGTCCATAATAGATAATGGTAAAGAATTTACTTGTAAAGTTTTTTCAGGATACCAAGATTTTCCTAGGCGAATGTCTCTTTTGAAGGATGAGACACAAGATTTCATATTTCCAAAAATTGCCACAAAAAGATTTGGGGCTACATTGACAAAAGCCCTGTCACCTAAAGTATTCTTTGCTTTTCTATTATTATGTATTAGTAACATGCCCTTATTTGATCGTAATTTATATCTTGCGGGTTTCCTGATACTTATTAAATCTTTTAGATACTGTGGAGCAGTAATATATAAACATTTATACACAATCATAGCAATCTTAAATTCAATGCGAAATCTTGCTTGGAGCCAATGAAGCCTTATAAGTGCTGGATTAATGTGGTTATATTTCGATACATTGCAAACAAAGCGAGTGGCTGCATTCTGCAGGCGCTGTAGCTTAGTTAAATTGACAGCAGGGACGCCATGCAGTAGGCAATTACAGTAGTCTGCGCACGATATTATGGTCGTTAGTAGAATCGCCTTCCTATATTCATATGATAAGTACTTTCTAATTATCCTAATCGGTTATGTAGATGCTAGTATACACTCAATTGAAGAATCGTTGTCGGGTTCAGAAACATAGAACATAGAAGCTGAGACCGAAATGGCACATGGGAAGTACGTTAATTAGATCATCCACTCTTATTGATACGCGTTTGGCATTCTAAACTGACTGCATGGATGGCGCAAATGAATAAATTCTAATATAATTATGTCATTTCACGTGTCATTTCGGTCTCTGCTTCTATGTTCTATGTTTCTGAACCCGACAACGATTGTTCTATTGAGTGTATACTGACTGACAAATTTTATTTATGTGGGTGGTCATTCTAATATTTGAATCAAACCAGGCCCCCAGATTACTAGCTGAGTCTACAGCGGATACTTTTGTGGAGTCTATCCGTATTTCTGTTAAGCTGACTTTATTCAACTGCGCGGACGTACCAATAATTAAAAACTCTGTCTTAGCATCGTTCAATTGTAATTTATATATGTGTGTGTACTATCCAATGATAATGCTCGAACTGCAAAGCCGTTTGTAAGTCGTATTTTTTCAATCCAAGTTTGCTTTTGATCTACTTCAAAAGTGATAAGCTTAATAGTATCATGAAGTAAAAGCGATGAATTATTTTATGTAACACTTGTTATGATTCAAGCAATCTGGTGACTCTTTTTTTGGGGACTTTATAGAATCGAACGACTAAAACGTCCCGTCACTCGCTTAAGGTGCTTTTTGAGATATTGACAGCATAACTTCCACTGCGTAGATGAAATATAACTTTCCAATTTATTCTAATTAATGTCAGAGGTTCATGATTAATTCTGAAGCCATAGATCCTAGTTAGAACCCTTTTGAAGTCTTTATTGCGTATAGCATAAATCCAAGGGTTTATTGCTGAACCACTAAAGTTTACAAATATTGCCCAAATCCACTGGCGATATACTTTCATTTCTTGGCATTTATCTCGTTGAGCAAGCGTAATATATGAAAACACAAGGCTTGGGGTGAAGAGGATTACGAATAAGCCTACGATAATCACTATCGTCCATGTAGCTTTCTGATTCTTCACACGAAAAGCTGTTTCTTGGATGGTGTCTTTTTCGATTCGTTTTTCGTGTCGACGAGCGATTTTAAAGATTTTATAATAACACACAGCTATTACTGTTAATGGCGGGAACACCACTAGCGAGGAACAAACAACCCACAGCAAAGCTAAATCTTTTTCCTGGACGCCAAGACTTAATGATCCCATACACAGCGAGAAAAACCACATAGTTAAGACAACGAAAAAACATCTTTTCTTGTTCATATTTTTGGGGTACCGGAAAGGACGAGAAATAGCAACATACCTTTCAACACTTACCAAACAAAGGCTGAAAGTCGTAGCCGTCAAAGAGTGAATCCAAAGAAAGTTTTCCATTTTCATGAGTGGATGTTGCTCAAGCCAAACATTGTGCGATATTATGACTATGTACAATGGATTGATAATCAAACCAACAATTAAGTCTGCCAAAGCCAGAGAAGAGATGAAAAAATTTGAAGTCGTTCTAAGCACCTTCGTTTTAAAAATTACCAAAACAACTAAAGAGTTGCCGATAATTGAAGCAAAACCGGAAATCCCATTCAGAATGATAAAAACGAAGCTTGAAACTCCAACCAAATTTGCAGAACATTGACTTTGGATGGAAATATTCGACTCCATGTTTTTTGTTTGTCGTCGGTCAAGCCGTTCTCGAATGATAATTCGCCTTGATAAAAATATTAGATATTCACGATATGTTTTTGTGACTTTTCCGACCACAAATATTTCAAAATCAATTTTAAAATACTAAATATTTAATTAGATTGACCGGCGAAATAATCAAAATGTACTAACTAATCAATGGCCAGACGACGTAATACAATTTTTAAGATGAAAAACCAAGATAATGATGATATGTAGCCAGGTAATCATCCTTCACTGAAGCTTTGTGTTGTAAACTCTTCCTCATTGACTTGATCCTGTGATGAAAAATACACTCAAAACCAGCTGCTTTACTTTTAGAATCATCAATGATCCATTGCGTTAAAAACGTCACCTAGAAAATAAAGAAAACAGAAATAAGGTGTAAGAGCGACTTTCCGAGGTTTAAGTGAAACAAACATCGCTGGTATTTTATTTATCAACAGCCCTAAGTGTGAAATAAATCGACATGATGTTTTCAGATGCATTCAGTTCTAGTGCAAAGATAAGCGCATATCCTACAGCTAAACTGATCACTAAATATTTAGGGTGAGGGGGGGTTTCACACCACGGGCTATCACTCGATAAACAAAGTATAAATAAAATTCATTTTCTGAATTGTGCCACGTAAATTCTAAAATAGTCGCTCTTAGGAATTATGCAAACTTCATGACATTCGTACAAAATGTATTTATTCAGCAACGACTAAATCGACACTCTTGGCAAATGGTGTTGTAAGACTGAAAGTAACCAAACTGTACAGGGATGACATTAAACAAGCCAAACAATGTAACAGCCGCGTTGAAATAACTATTTTTCGCGCCACTTAAAGTGCATATGCTCAGTGTCATCTAATAAGCAAAAAATTTTAAAATCGTTTTTTACAATAACTTACAAATTTCTCGCGCGCTGATTGGCTATTTTTTATCATCAATAAGAGGTTAGACAGATAAAGATGACACAACGAGCGCGAGCTCTTTCTGTTAGTTGTTTTGATCAGTAAAAATGAGAAGTTTTTATCGTTTTTGTTATTGTAAAAAAAAAATTGACATCAGATTTTTATGTGTGTGTCCTCTTATTGACGATTACGTCATCACATAGTCAAAGTAGTCAGTGTGGATCCACGAGGCGTAGCCCTCACTTTGTTAATTTTTTGGTCAAAAGTAGATTGTACACGAGTTTAGTTTATTGTTACCTATTCACGAACTAAGCTTCTATAATCGACTTTTTGAAAGACTTATGGCCATTCATTTTGTATTATTCACAATTTTTATGGAACAAGTTAAATTAAACACCAGAAAATTATCATCCATTTTGCCTCCAAAAGCGTTCCTGCCGTCATCTATATGAATATCTAAAAATTTCAACGTTATCAATTATTCCTGCCAGCCTTAAATGAAGCAGTTGTTTTTCACAATTATTTTCACGGCATTAACCGGTAGGAGAACAATCTCGAATTCCGGCCTAATATTGTGTTTTTAAAAGCATGAACTTAAAATTTGATTGCTTCACTGAGTTGATATCAGTCAATCTCTTATCTAGCGGTGCATGTTATAAAACTTCGAGGAAGCGTTGGCGTCTAAAAGAAGACATTTTCCCGCCTGGAAAGCATTTTGTCTTTCAATCTAAAATCCAATTTTACTAACAAAGTGTCGTAGGCTTCATCAAATTACGAGATATTCATCTAAATTTGGCACTTCTCGAACCAAAATACAGTTTCATACGTCTGAAACACAATTAGACAAACACGATAATGAAAATAATTCGCGAAGTACTTTCATACCTGGTCTCGTATAGAAGACTTAATGACCTGTCGTACTGTTGTTAAAATATAATAATAATCTTTTTGAAAACGGTCTTAATCAGAACATCATATAGACTTTTTATAATATTATCATAGATGCAAGGTAAACCTTTTTAGTGGCTGACAAATTTAGACCTGTGTTGAGTGTCAATCATTCTTATCCTTCCTTGACGACGAAATAAATGACAGCTGTAAATAAAAAAATGACTTCCGTTACCAGACGCAAATGGCTGACAGGATAAGTATTCTAAAGCAAATATATTAAATAAGAGTGAATGTGACTTTACTTACATTTCTCCATCATTTTACCAACAGAGGAAGAACAATTTACGTGGTCATGATTTTATTCAGTGGCAATGCTTTGCAGGCATTAATGCACTGAACTTTTCAAGTTGTGACAAAGATTTTTTTCAAATAAAGAGAGACTAACAGTCTGGGACCTGTGCTCTTAGTGGCTTCTCCAGTTAAGGTTAGTGAACGTAACCATTTAAGCCCTTGTACTCAATTTTCTGTCCCCAATGATATGCTCCCAACTCTAGCTCATTGTCAAATAACTTTTAAAATATGCCGTATTGTTCCTGTGTGTTATTAAAATAATTAATTCTGCCCTCGATCTGTTGAACTTTTATTTGTCAATGTATTTAAGGGTGAAAAGTCCGTTAATCCCTTGCAACAAAACGTTTATGGACGGAAGGAAAATCTCAACTAAACTATTGGCCTTTGCGCTGGAAATGAAAAAATGAAATGGATAATATATAGAACCGCGTGCGCTAAAAACATATTTTCTAGAATAATCTGTTGGAGGGCCTTTAAATTACTCCTTCATAGGCAATATATTTTCAACTATTCTTTGATATTCATCTTAATCAAGAAAAACAACCAATATTCTGACCAAACATACATTTTCGCGATTTATTTATTATAACTTTGCCTTAACTTTTCATTGCGATTCTAGATGTTTATTTCTAGCGCTTGTGCCATCACTTCCAGCAGCGCAAACCTTCTCACACCTGTTTTTGAACCCAAGAGCCGAGACATTTGGAAATCCTTGCCCTCAATAAATGTCAGTGTTCATCTTCTTGTCAGGTTTAAAACAACCACAATATCATATTCCGTAAGATTAGTTGCTTATCCCTGAATAAATCCTAAGCTTAAAACTGAACTCTTCTATGTTTGTGCTATTTTTTTTTACGGTATTTTACAGCCTAAAGAAAGAAACTAGGAAAATAAACCTTCCAAAAGATATAAATATAAGCATACTGATATATAGCTTCTTAGTGCTACGGCTTTATATTTAATTCTTGTACTGTGGTAACTTTTCAGGCCGAATAATAATGTTAATGCTAAACGCCTTCAAAATCGACGTAAAAAAGCTAGAAAACGTTCATCTTTTCGTATATTTTCTTTGAATTATCCATCACTAATAATAATTCATTTTCATGCAAGATATTTTTATTCCGCCAAAGTTAGGTCATGTAGTTTTTGTTATCTTCTACCAGCTGTTAATTTATGGATTTCTTATTCTACTGCCACAGTGTGCATCGTGTATCGACGTCTGTGTCTCCTAGTTACGAAAATAATTAATACTGAACTGAATAACTCATTTGCTTTTCCCCTAGCTCTCTAAATATAATGTCTATCGCATTTATTCATCTACCTTGAACTTTCATTTATCTGAGTTCTTTTTAATTAGGAATACCACTTATTACATGATTAATATTTCTCTAATTATTTTGGCTTAAGTTCCATTGGAAAAAATTGCCCATACATTTGGAATATTTGCTCTTTTCGGTCTTTTTCCTCTCTTTCCAAAGCAAAAGGTCGTTCTTAAAAGTAAAGTTATATAGTACAAGTAAACTGCGAGACAAAACATCCTAAATGATCCGTAAATCTTCTGTTCTTTCGCTAACTAGTAGTTAGAGTGTTTTCGAGGCTACGAAACCTAAGAAACCATAAGAGGCGAATGTATAGGCCAACAGATAGTATGAGCTTATAAAATCAGCAAAAATACGGTTCTAAATTTTAACAAATTCCTATGAATTATATACCAAAATGTTCAGGAAAGCCCGTGGTTTTCAAATCCACTCCTTGCTTTTTTGACAGGTTCTGTTTTATATCAAGGAGAGACGATTTTTTAGCTTGACCCCGGTTATGTCATACATTTTCTCCTGTAAAATACATCCAATAGCGTACATTCAACTCAAAAAGTACGGTGGTTTTTTTCAATAGAATTCAACCTAAACCATACAATACAGTTCGTGAATAGTTGAATTAACTGAATCCACTTCTGTTAATTAGAACAGATCTCATCACCTAGATAGTCATTATTTTGAGAAGAGATCCAAGAACCGTGTTTTTGAGACATAATTTGTATGGGCTCACATGAGGGGGCGTGAGCTTGAAATCGTAGCTGACCAAACGTTAAAAGATTTTTTCTGGTTTTAAAATTGATTGATCCATTTTACTATATGTCTATTAACTCATTCATTTATCCGTTAATTCACAGGCAGCCCTAGTAAAGCAATGTTCGATCTCCTACCCAGATACCACGTTACTCTAGGACAGTACCGAGATGACATTTTTGTTGAAGGTTATTTAGATCCCGGGGGGTACTCCCCTATATTTGCTATACGGGTATGTGCCGCCCTATAGGGTATGGTTTTTCGGCTTTTGGGTCTGGGGTAGGGTATCATTTTTTGACATTTTGTCTGGGATAGGG